GCTCGTCTTTGATGAGAAGCCAATCAGCTATAAGAGAATGAAACAAATTTTCTTTCGTTCTCACGAATCTGTTTGGCTTGTCAACAAATTCTAGCGAGTCGCTAGTATTTTTGACTCGCTACTAAAGATAAATCTATAGTACAGGTGATACGTTCACCTTTAATATAAAAGTAAAGTTAAAATGTCAATCCTAGTCTAGAGTCAAAATTCTAGTTATAACATGATTTCTGCAGAATGAATTTAGTCCTTATTTACATTAAAAATAGTCACTTTCTGTTAAGATCAAATTTTTATTCTTACTCTATCGCCTGGTACAGCATATAATTCTGGTATAATTTGTACACCTTCTGGATCTTTAATAATACATTCTTCAAGTAGACCATAATAGAGTGCAACCTAAAACAAAAATAAAAACAGAAGTTTCTATAGATATTTAAATAATTTCTTTTGACTGACTTGATTGTCATTTTCATGAAATAATCCGTCAAGAATTAAATAACAAAAAAACAGTGGCCATTCACATTCAATTCTTTCAAATCGTTTCAATTCATGTGGATCATAATGTAATCTGGATGCATTCTTAAAATTATAAATATTAATTTAAATAAAATATTAATTTACCATACCTCAACTGGTGTTTTGTGGCCATCACGTAAAAACCTCGACAAACCATATCGACCTTGTAATTTTGATATAACACCTGTTTTTGTTTCTGTTACTAAATCAAGATCTTCAATACTAAATGCTGGATAACTAATTATACTCAATAATGATGCATCAGTTTCCTACACAAAAGAAAAGAAAAAAAAAGATTTAATTTAAAATCAGATAAAATTACTGTTTTACTTTTGAAAATGATTCACGTGGTAACATTGATTTAAGTACTGAATAACACCAATAAATATAATCTGATGAAACATGTATAATTGATCGTGGACCACCATTACTACCAAATAAATCCAATTCATTCATTGCTTCTAATGCTGCTTTAGCCATACCAACTGAACTTGAATTAAGTTCTGGATAACCATGATTTGTTTTATCACCTCGTTCCCAAATACCATAATCCTTAATAATTAATAAGATATATATATATATATATATTTCTTTTTTTTTCTTTCTACTTTTATTTTTTGAACTTACTGGAATCATATATGATTGCTCAATATAAAATACGAGATTCTGAACAAAATCAACTTCATCAAGAGTATAAACAATATATAAGCCTATAAATATGTATAAAATAGAAAAGAAATAATTTTCTCTATTTTATTTATAAAAACCTGATGATGTCATTTCACCAAGCATTAATAAATATAATGAAGTTGCATCTAATTGTAAATGTCCCCATTCATTATCACCTACAGCTGTATTACCTTGATATTTGAATAAAACAAAAATTGATTATAAAGAAAAACGAAAAAGTTTTTTTTTTAAATAAATTTACCCGTCACTGAAGAGTATTTAGCATGTAAAGCATCGTCACGACTTAATGTTGATTTAAATTTTTCAACTTTTTTTACTTGTTTCATCATACATATCAATAAACCACGCATTGTTTTAACAACACTCTAAATTTTTTACAAGAAAATAATAAATTTCAATGATTTGTTTCATTTTATTATTACTTGTTCTAATTCATAACATTTTGTCCAATTTTCCATTTGATCCAAATGTTTTTTATAAGATAACGATAAACCCCAAACAGCCATAATTGCATAAACATTATCGCGTACCCAAGCATGATCTGTATCTTTACCAGCAGAAAAAAGTCCTGTTAATGGATTTTGATTACATAAAATAGTTTTTGCTACCATATGATAGTAATCGTCAAGAGTCATTTCAGTTGAATCTCCTGTACGATTACGCACTCCAGCAACACTTGCTCTTCGTTGAAGTTTAGTTGACATGTTTATTTTGTTTTTTTCTTCTTCGAAATTACATTCTTATAAAACTTTTCTAAAAATAAATAACAAACGATTTATTTATTAAGAAGAAGAAGACATGTATAACTCTTTTTTTATAATTCGTCAGCAGATCTATGACGATTCATCCATCTATTCTATTATCAGAAAGAACAAGCAAGGAATAATAATAATAAGATGAGACAAAATGAGTCAACCATAGAGAATAGACTAACCAATAGTGTTTAGTTTCGATAGGGATCAGAATATGATGAATCGTGTACTACTTATTCATCATCGACCATCATCACAGAACGTAAAAAAAAAAACAAGGGAAACATTTCTATTGAGATTTGAGAAAAAAGAAACGCTAGTAATATATCTTCTCATTACACTGAATAAAATTTTATATTAGTATGATTTCTTGTTTGTTTTCAAGAAATGAATGATTTCAAACAGAACAATAACATTTTATATTCAGTAGTTTAGAGATTTGACGGTAAGTGTAATACTAATATGTTAAGACGTTTTGACTCACAATACAAACAATTTTATTGTTGTATGATAATTGAGAAAATAATTATGTGACATACTAAAAGAAGTATTTTGTATGCAAATAATCAGAATAACAACAATCAAGATAAACGAACAAGATAAAAGTAATAGCGATCACGAAGAAATCTAAATCCTATGAAATAAACATTAAAAAAAAAAAGAATATTCTAGCAAGGAAATGTTTTCAACTGATCAATTACTTTCTCATCGAAAGCTATTGGATTTTAAGTTGTCGACTATCCTAATCCCGAATATGATTATATGAAATCCCCTTACGTCTTCATATGCTGGTTTTCCAGACTAACAAGTTTTTCGCTGAAATTTATTTTTGATCTGTCCAGATCATAGAGCATATCGACTTGATTAGAAAATAGTAGGTTTTCCTGTTTTAAGATACAGTCCGCCAGAAAACCAGGCAGGATCTGAACATTTGACTCAAGAAATATTTTGGATTTTGGATTTAGTTATCTTAAAATAAAGGCCTCATAGAGATAGTAACAAATTCAAAATATGAATTTGATCCGACAATCTCTTGGTGAATTATGGGGTGCACTATGATAATATCTCTCAGAGAGCTAGAAGAAAAACAGCATTGTTTTATACTTTTTAATATAGTACAAAGTGGATTTATTATTTCGAGCATTAACATAGCAAGAACTTTTGCCAACAGAAAGAAGACTTTTTTTTCTGTCGTGCCATGCGTTTCTCAACCTTCCACATGCACTATTATGTGGAAAACAAAAGTCAATAGTGTTTTTTTAATGGAAAAATAAAGCATTTTTTTTAACGTTTTTTTCAAGTGTTTTGACTCGTGAGATATAAAATTGGGGATCTCCGAAAGATTTTATGACATCAAGAGAAAGTTCGTGAAAAACTGCGTTTTCTGACGTAAAAACATCTGAAAATAAAACACCAAGAGCTCAATCAAATTCTTTTTTAGTAAAGAGTATGACTATACACTTTTTATACTTATTTTAGTTTATTTTCTCCACCAGATAGCCTTCCTTGTGATCCTTAGGAAGACAGAGTGACAGACGAGAATCATTCATTTTTGGAATAATATTCATATAGTATGATAGACAATTTATATACCATTCGATCGAGAATTTAATTCTAAACAAAACTGTATGAGTGGTCTTGAATTAGAAGCAAAATTTGATTTTGAAAAGTTTAGTATACTATCCATCCAGGATTTTCTGTAGACTATATCGTGTTATTGTGTATCTCTTGATCTCTATTATTAGACTAAGAATCGGAACGATTTTTTTTTCTGCATCAGTCGCTATTATGAAGAGCTATAAAATTGCTAAAATCGTATGGTAAAGATTCCTTACAACGAACCTTGTGCATTGATGATCTCCGCTAATATTTGAAGGAAAGGTATGATTCTTATAGCATCTGTAGTACACATTAACAGTTACAAAAATGGTAGATCATGTGTTTGAGAAAATATTTCCGTTCTCATAGAGCAATAACATCCGACCAATATCGTAATAAAAAAAAAAACTTTTCAAATGCATTTTCTGCTACTTAGCTTCTAACAATATGCATAGACATAACCATTGTAACTGCATCGATAAAAAAATCAAACATAGAAGCAGCATCACTGAATAAAACCCTTAGAAAATATAGTGAAATTCTCGGTATTTCGAGAGAGCAGATATTGTATTGAAGGTTTGAATTCTATTATTGCGTGCTGTGGCTAAGAAACGGTTGTGGCATGGTTTGAAGCAAATAAAAACAAAAATAACTTTTAATGAACGTTACCTCAAAAGTGTGATTTATTTTAATAATTTTTTTGAAATCTTCTTCTTTTTCATTTATAAATGCTTACACTGCCGTTTGGTGAGCGATGCTAGGTTGATCAGACTATATTCATCAAATTTTTATTGGCATTAAAAGCAAGTTGTAGAATAATTGATAGTTGTATGCTTAGAAGTAGGTAAACGAAGAAATTACTATTCAAATCGATCTGCCCTTGAAGTAAAGCTAATGGCTGCCAGAAGTAGCTATGATGAATTGGTTAAAAAGAGTTTCGAGTAGATAATTTCGTTGATCGGTTTTTGGATAACTGTTTGTAGTGCATCCATTTTCTACATCACGGCTATATTCAATCACGTCTATATTATGTTTATAGCTGTGTTGGTATGAATGCGAGTGCTGTTCGGCCTTATTCGATGATAGACGAAGAGCAAACGATCGCGCAAGTCCTTGCAAAAGAGTTTGCTCGCCAGCGTATTGGCAAGGAAATCTTTTGCAAAATTCAGATGGAAAAAAAAGCTTGATACGTTGAAGTAAAGTGTCTCGATTGCACGTCATTTATCGTCCTTTATAAGACTGGTGAAAAGCACTGTATAAGCGTAATAGTCGATTCAAATAATGAGTAAAATCGAATTACTCAATACTTAAACAACAGTAGTGGTGATGATGATGATGAATTGAGCGTCAGTTCGATTAGACTGTTGATTAGATCGTTGCTGGTGTTGAGTAGTAAGACGCCAACGACTAAGTCGCACGTTATTATAGACAATAAGATCGAATATCAGCACGGAGTCTTGTAGAATCAAGCTTGTCCAGACAATACTATAGGTGAAAAGAAAAGAGCATGTGCTCTAGGTTTTGACCCAGAAATCGGTTGAATATCATAGTAGATGAACTGGTGTGCAGTGGTAAGACTGTACAGAAGAATAGATACGCATGTCAAGCATTTAGCCACTTTTATTTGACTGAACGAACGAAGATGCGTGCTTTATAATGTCGACAGACATCGATAGAGTGCCGCTAGGACGAGAAACCCAGTGGTAATGCTTGGTAAAGCTCATGTTAGATACATGTGAATTTAACAGTAGACGAGAGAGATATTGTGGTGACATGAGAAAATACCAACCACATGAATTTTGATGTAATTGCTTAATGGTGAATGCCACAAAATTCCATACACGTCCAATGTTGCCCCAACACAAGAATAGTGAGTGGAACATACGGAGTATGGCTAACTATGATCGCGTTAATGCTTGCCGCATCCATTTTTACTTCTGTAGCAATGATCAACAAGATGTGAAAAGATTTCACATGGATTCGTGACACCTCCAATGCAGTTGAACGGCTCGTTTGTGGGGAATGCAGATGTAACAGATAAATATTGCCAGCTTCATTTATCATTTTTCTGTTCAAAAAATCTGTGCACGACCCTTCACACAAATCATATACGCTCCAAGGAGCAATGAGAAACAGCGAGCTATCAGTTGAAAATTTTTTGCACTATTACGCATCTTTCATCTTCAGTGTGAACACTAAAATCAGGGATAGACGCATTACCGTAACATATCAACTTGCCCTTCAAGACATCTCACAGCATAAAGAGCATCTTTTAACATAAAATAGTGTCTATTAATCATTGCAACATTCAACGATCGCCGAAATTTATTATATTTGATCGTCCTCCATCAGAATTCAATCAATTTGTTATCAAGTCATTCTTCTTTGTCGTTCGTGAGAAACGTGTGAAAATGTGATCGTATATCGTTCTCTGGTCGTCCGAAAAGTTTGTAACTCAAATTTTATGAAACTGTACGATTTTATAGAATATAAGTTGCACAGACTTTCCGGACAACTAAATCCAGTTAATGACAACGAACCTTTAAAACATGTCAATGCCGTTAAATGCTTGAAAAACGGTGCTCAAGACGTTTTAACAGCATTCGTTTCGTTTTCTTGTTTGCTTAGGCAGTGCCTATCGACACAGGCAAGAAGCTAGACTCAAAGAGTATCGTATTAGTAATATATTTTCTATCTCTTTCATCATATTATGGTTAGAGGGGACGCCTCAATATGCACTATGGATCATTTTTTTGTTTCTCCAACCAGAAGACATAAATTATTGTATTTCTTCCTATGAACAGCAAGATAGAAATACGTATTTGTACACTACGGTGACTTGCCATCAACCACATTGTCAAATGGAAAAGGAAGATGTCCGCTAAAAATGATCGCTGTGAATACAATTTCATGATGAGAATCAGACCAAAATCTATACACACTCAAGATGGAACCACTGTTTGGTTCCTGTCTTGCTGAATTTCTTTACGTAATTGGTTTATTTTTGTCATAAATGATTGGAATGCACTTTATCTATTAAGTTCATGGACAATACAATCCGTTCAGATGTTCGAAATCGCTTAGAATTGATGGAGATGACATAGAGTCTTTCTTTCCTCAGGACATTCGTAATTCGTAATTATGTGAAACTTCATTCTTCAAGTATTCCCGATGAGAAACAACACAACGTGACTATGAGTGTGGATATCTGACTCACCCACATCCACATCCGCATACTTAGCTCTCACCCATCCGTCGATCACGAAAAAAGGAGTGTCTGATGCAAGTAGAAAAAGGCATACCTCGTATTTCTTTATACATCTAGAACCTTCCTTATACTTCTTCATAAGTGA